CGCTGCGCAGAGATGGCGAATTGCAGCCCTGGCAGCGGATTCTTGGCCGGATTGGGCGACGTGACAGGAGCGGACTTGCCTGTGAGCACGGGCGAGGCCATGGTCATCGCCATGTTGGGATCCTCGCTAGGATCTGTGGGGGACAGACACAACTGCGCCGCCTTCTTGGCTGTCTGTTGCTTCTCGGGAGTGTGAGAGGCGGTCAGGAGGCGCATGGCCACAAGGCGCGCGTGGCTCGGTGGTTCCATTGCGGTGTGTGCTGCTGGGTGCCTCGGATTGACTTGCGGGTGACGCGGCAACTTTGGGAATGAGAGCCAAAAGCGTCGGTACGTCAGCGGCAAAGTTGCCTTTTTTGTATGGGCTTGACTATTGACGACACGCACAAATCGAGCAAGCCAATCAGCGTGCAGCGTGCGACGCGGCGTTAAAGTTAAAATGCGGGACAAGTAGACGTCGCCTCTCCTGGTGTCGTCTGGTGGCGTCCGGCTCCTTGTGGGCTGCGGACGTTGGGTTCAACGCCGTGATGGGGAGGGATGACCTGCCGCAATGAGTCGGTTGTGCGTTCGTGGATACTTTTTTTTTTCCCTTTCAAATAATTTGAAATGGATGCGCGGCTCGGTTTGATGGGCTTCGCTCGGTGATGAAACTCTTGCTGGCGGGTGCGTTGCGGATTGCAAAGTGAAAGGCGAGGCTAAGGCCTGTTGAGCGCCATGAGATGTCGGTTTCTCTCCTGGCGCCAGGCACTGAAAGGCGAGCGACACCTGGGCAGATCTGCACGTCTCTTGGCGATGCCGCGACAAGAAGCCTCTTTGGAACTGGCCCTTTTTTATTCGTAACGGTTGTTAATTGGGTATTGTACCCATTTTCAGAAAACGAAATTTCAACTTCTTCAAACGGAAGTGAACCGACAAAAACTGTCGAAATATAGAGCGTATTTTGATTTACCCATTTTTTGACCAGGATCGTCAAAAAAAAAAAAAATGGGTCCGATCTTGATGTTCATCAGATGATGGTCATCAGAAATCGGCTGGCGAACTTGTTTCTCAGCGAGCACTACGCGTTGGGCTTTGCCTCTGGCGTGTCAAATTGGCTCGAGTCAGCGCACAACGCGGCGAAGAGACGGAATCTTTCCACACGCATGAGGCGGAGACTCGCGTTGGAGGGACGCTGGCCTTGACAAGCAACCACCAAAGCTTATCAAATGGAGCCTTCGCCGGCTTTAGGGCCGTTACGGCGGCGTAGCGGTTGAAAGATGCCAATCAAGCGGCATGAGCGTCCCTCTGGATCAAAACGGACGAGTAGTGAAAGGACGGCGCCGACTAGCCGATCTTATTGACGGTCCGTTACTAGCTGTTGATCGGCCAGCATGACTCATGCCTGCATGAGAGCAAGCCTTAGGGCAGCCGAGCACGGCACGTATGAAGCTTGGCGGTCGTGAACTTGGCGGTGAAAACCCCCGGACGTGACGGATGGCAACAGACCGAGCAAAGCTCGATTTGCGTATCCTGATCATGAGTGACATGTGGTATCCTCTTCGTCGCCGTTCTCGACGAACGCGCTGCGCATTCCGCATCATGAACACGGCAACGTTTCAAGGGAACTTGTTCCTCACCCAAATGGGACACTCAGCCTAGCGGTGGTGGTCAGGCGAAATAGCGTTTCAATTGCATTTTTTTCGCCTATCAAACGGGTAACTCGGTTGCATGGTCGCGCTTGCGATGCGAGTTGCATGCCACGTAGCTGCTCCGCTCTTCTTCAACCTCTACACAGCACATGATCCACAGGCCTAATGTCCACTTCAATGATAAGCATTGCTCACTTGCTGTCGCACCCAAAAGTTCTGGGCTCGCTTTCCTAAAGTATCGGATATCTCTCACTCTACCCCACGGATGAAGCTGGATTTTCGACGCGATGCTGGACGCTAAGAGCGGGCTCTACAAATATGTCAAGCCTGGCGCTCTCGACGCTATGAACACGACGAGCATCGCGTAGAATTTTGTGGCCAAACTTTGAGCACTACGATTTGGTCTTCTTGTCGCGGACAGCACAATTCGCAACACGGAGACGAGTTCGTAAGGCAGACGGGCAGTCACACTGAGCAGAGTCTTCTTTTCGCAGTGGCATTCGCCTGGAAGGCGAGTGCATGTAATATTTGCGATCGCTTGAGATGGTGCTGGTCG